GGCATTGTAGTTATCAGATCATGTCGGTCTTCGGGGCGGCCAACAATTTCTATTATCCAATTGCCTAAATGGTCCGGTCAGCTGGTTATCTGTTAAACTCACGGGGGTTCAAACGGAAATCTGTAGATGTTTTGGGTTGTATTTCCAGGATCTGCGGCATTAAACTATCACCATCCGCGGTTAATATGCAAACTTGCCATGAGACTAAGGCGGAATCCCTATGTCATAGGAGAATGTAGATCCGTTTTTGATTTAGTGTACCACTACGGAACAAAGTCGGGGTGCTTCGAACTGGTAACCGTGCATTCTGCATCAACTTTTATCTCCCCCTTCAGCTCAAATTTCAAACCGATAGTCATTTTTGGCTATAGAGAGAAAAAGAAATGGCTTGTTTTAGAAAAACTTATGGTCCCTAGGTACAAGTCTCTACTTTTCGAGAAGTGTCAACATTATTTAGCTTTTTTTCTGTTATATTTTCTATCAATAACATCTTCCGAAGTAAGAGTATGAACCTTTTGAGAATGGCTCGTCATTTCACATTTTGATTAGAGTTCTCCTTTGGGAATACTGTGACTCAGGTGTTATCTAAGACACCAATAGAGATAAGCTGAAAAATGTCAAAATTTCCAAGTCAAGTAATGCCCTTTTTGTCAATAGGTGGCTATCCTCATTGAGTTCTCTTTCTTTGAAGGGCGGAAGTTGTTTCTGGACGGCCTCGTGTAAGCTTTAATCTTATTTTCATTTGTATTTACTAATATTGTTACCCATTCTGGTATGACCTAGCTGTGTCTTAATAAGATGATTGGAAAAATGTGTAGTATCTTCTGATCATCAATACTACTTATATTACTTGGGTTTCCCGAATATTGAAGTCAGACAATAATGAGCATTTGGTTTACAATAAACGTTCTTGTAATAGTTCAATTCCTTTGTGCGGTAGCCACTGCTGATACTATAGGGGGATGTAGACCCCCATCGGTTGATAAAGGCCTATATGCCGAATATATCAACACGACCCTTGATGAATATCCTTTTCTGAATCAGTCTGAGGCTACAGCTGCTCTTTCTGCAATTGACAATTCCGAAGCAGGACTTTCCTGGGGAGGGGTTACTAGTCAAAACTTCAACTTCGCAACTCCGGCCGATAGTGCCGTATATGCGGAGCTATATGGGAAAACAGTTAACGTAGGATACTTTGGTTTGAGACTCTCAGGATACTTTTATGCCACTACAACCGGAGACTACACTTTCGATATAAGTAATGCTGATGATACTGCATCTATCACGCTTGGAGCAGGGGTTGCTATGGATTGTTGTGGACTGGGACCGCTCACAGGAAATCTTGATGAAAATGCTTATTACATTCAAGGTAGTGGAAGTACAACTGCTACGGAGACAGTTACACTTACAGCGGGTGTCTATTATCCTATTAAAATCGTCTACTACCAAGAAGGTGGGCCATCTAGCTTTACCATGTCTGTAACCTATCCTGATGATATAACGCATACATCTGATATTGACTGGTATAGCTCAACAGACAATAGCACATCATGTCCTTATTCAGTTACTACTACTGTTACATGGACCGGAACAGATACTGAGACTGTTACTGTAACAGGCTCAC